TGGGTATACGGGGGAATGGGCCTGTTGGGAAGGATCCTTGTTTTACTGACAAATACAGCCTGAGTGCAAATCCTGCCCTGTGGGCCCAGCAGAGAGACCGGGGCTGCGGGCGGCCCGGCGGCCTGTGTTCTGAGTTACCACTTCTGCTCATGCCCACTGCTTAGGGACGTGGAAGGGGAACTTGGTTTATGAGAGTAACTGATGTTTCCCACTTTAAGCCCTCTGCGGGGAAAATGCAGATGTATGGGCCCTTCGGGTGGGCTCACGATAGCCCGGGGAGTGATCTCCTGGCAGTCTTCCTAATTGGTGTATGCCCATGGGGCGTTTCAAGGAAGCCCTGCTGCACCAAGACCTGACTTATTTGCTTGCTTATGGAAGCCTGCCATCATCCACAGTGAGGTGCGCCCTACCTGCTGGCCCCCGCCAAAGTGCTGAAACTCCCGAAGCGTGTTTACTGCCACTTACTCGGTCAAGGAAATTGCTCCTGTGTCTGACTACCTGTGTGATTAGGGCTAAATTAAATTGACTCAGTGATGCCGTTTCTGCCTCCTAAAAAGAAAATGATAGCCAGAGGTTTGGACTGAAATGATGTAATTAATACAAGTGGCATGCCCAGAATGTAGTATAGGGTTAGATAATGCGGCCTGCTGTTCCCTGTATTCTTACCACTAAGAAAGCCACTGGCACCTTCGTCGTCAGGGCCATTTGTGTTCTGTAGGACAGGACGACGATGTGGGCGCGAAGCCTCAGAACACGTGGGGCGCAAGGACTCCAACAGCCTCCAGCCCCGCAGGCCGCTCCTGTGGCTGGCTGGGGAGGAGTGCCAGAGGGGACCCGGGGGTGTTTGCCTCTGCGAACAGGACCTGTGTGGCCAGGCTTGCCAAGGCCTCTGGGGAGGGAGCGTCCCTCGGTCTGGCCCACAGTATACTTAGGATCGTGAGACATTCTCTTATGTTGGTAGATCATCTTCATTTCCCCAGCTGCGAAATAGGGTCTATTTGTTTCTGCTGCGTGGGTGTGGCCATCCCCTGAGCATCTGCCGGCCGCTGGCCTCTCAGCCCACTTCATTCTGCACCAGTTGCAGCTGGGCTCAGACCAGGGCTCCAGCCTGTGTTCATTCAAAGTCACCAAGGGCGTTTTGGCAAAAGCAGACACTCGGATTCTGTTTCTGCTTGCTATGGGGCTGGCTGTGGGGCTTGCATCTGATTGCATCACCCGAGGGCCTGCTCTGGAGACCTCCGTGCCTATAAAGAAGATACCACGTGAGATTAGAGCCAGAGAGTTTGCGGGGCTTTCCTCCCCTCTTCTTTGTAGTAGCAGAAACATCTGCAGTTGGGGGTGGGGAGTGGAGGGTGGGGGTGGGGAAAGCAGTGGGTTGTCTGCCAGAGATAGATGTTTAACTCCTTCTTCCATAGAGTGACTGAATGAGCCAGGAGAATTGATCCCATTTTATAGGTGGGCAGATGGAGGCCCTCAAGGACCAAGAGCCTCACTCAGGTTCAGTCCTCTACTCTATGTTCTTTCTGCCATACCGTCTTGCCTCTGGGGGCCAGTAAGGGATGTTGGCTGTTTTGGGTTGATTTGCGCTCCTCCCAAATTCATATGCTGAAACCCTACGGCCCATTATCTCAGAATGTGACCTCATTTGGAAATAGGATTGTTACAGGTGTATGTAGTTAAGATGAGGTCAGTACCATGGGGCCCTAATCCGATAGGACTGGTGTCCTTATAAAAGGGAACTTTGAAAAATAAAATAAAAAATAAAAGGGAAATTTGGAGACAGAGACAGATGCATATAGAGGGAAGACAATGTGAAGAGACACAGGGAGAAGACAGCCATCCGTGATGAGGCAAAAAGGGAAGTCTGGAAGAGATCCCTCCCTCACAGCCTCAGAAGGAACCAGCTCTGCCAAGACCTCGATCTCAGACTTCCAGCCAACAGCCGGTGGTAGGTTGTTACAGCTGTCCTGGGGAACGAATAACAGTGGCTACAGGATGAGTTAAAAACAACGTATTTGGAGTCTTTTTTCACAATTTTATACCTTGGTGACCTTGGGCAAGTGAACTTGACCTCTTTATACTTCTGTGGAGAGAGCACTGCCAACCTCACTGGGATGTTGTGACCAATGGTAGCACTGAGGGCCTGACGGGTGCGTGGTGGGAAGCACAGTCTGATAAGTGGAGATGGGAGAAGGCAGCCGGCAGGGTGCCCTGGTGGTGGGGATCCGTCTCTGTCCCCCTCCTCATCTCCCGGCCAGCCGTTGCTTTTCTCCAGGTCCTTCTCCAAAGGCCACTTCTTGGCCTTTCCCTCTACATTGGCCTTTCTCCGCCTTCCCGAGGGCATACTTGGCCTCTGTAATCCTGGCCTCGTCTTTGTTCCCTGTTCAGCTCGGTGCTGGGCCCCTTCTCACCTTCTTATGTGCTCCCCTCCAATATGTCCAAGCCAGGGTGGTGACTTCTTTTCTCAGCCAGATGTTTTCTGTGACTTTTTGAGTCGCCTTGACCCACGCAACTTCCCTTCCTTCCTCTTGTCCAAAGATGTTTCCCAAGACCGTGTCCTCTATTGGCTTTCCCGTGCTTAGCACTGGGCTGTCTTCTCAGAAGCTCGTCAGCGCTCCTCCTTCCCTGGCCTGGGCACTAATTCATCGTTACCCGACCTGGGTAGCCTGGCGTAGTCTCCTAATGTTCACGTCTGCAAAAAAGCTTCTCAAGCTACTGGTTAGAGGAATGAATACCTTGGAGAATTCTTTGCTATCAGAAGATCAACGTGCTCGGAGAGCAGACCTCTGCATTTCGTCCAACGAGAGACCTGCGCTCTGGACTTTGGCAGTTAATGCACCAGATTCATGTAGGCGGCTCAGTGCCGTGTGCTGGTGTCTCGATTTCTCCCTCCTTGGGGGATTCATCAAATGAGGAAACACTGCAGACGAACAACTCAAAGAGTAGGAGGAACGTGATCCAACACAGCTCAGGAAGTCTTCATAGGACCTGTGACCCTCTCTGGGCCAGGCTGGCCCAGAGCGTGAAGAGCCAAAGAAATGGGTTTTTCTGACTACGGATAAGCCTGAGAACTGCTGTCCTGGCAACAGGAATCCAATGAAAGAGCATCAGAGTCATTGCTAGTGATTGATTTAATGATCCTAAATTTCACCGCTCTCTGAATCCATGTCCTTTCTGTGGCGCCTTCCTGTGCTGCCTTGAGGCTAGACCTTGTAACCGGTTTGGCCGATGGAACAGGAGCAAGCTTGAGGCAGTCAGAGGCTTGGAAAGGGTTACAGCTTTTCACCGTCCTTATTAGAGCCCAGCCTTGCCTTCACCATGAAAATGTGCCTGGGCTAGCCTGCTGGAGGGTGGGAGCCACACGAAGCAAAACCATCCGAGACCAGTGGACTGCTGGCTGGCTGGCCTGACTCTGCCCAGCCGGGTCTGGCTCAGCAGGACCTCCCAGCTGATTCATAAACTCATGAGAAATAATAAAAGGTGGTGGATTTAAGCCGCTACTATTTGGGGTGCTTTGCACCTAACTGCCTGCTACTCTGCCCCATAGTTCCCTTTGTTTTGGGTATAGTCTTGGATATAGTCTCGGTCGGTGCTGACCATTCAGATCACATTCTAATCTTCTTGAATGTTCCATGGGAAGCCACCTTTGATTTCCAAGAAAGCTGCTGCACTAACAATTGGATGACTTGAAATTAAAGTGCCAGAGATACTCGTAATCAAGTCATTTTAGTCTGTGTACACTTGCAGTTTATAAAAAGCATGTTAGAGCTGACTTTAACATAAAGGGACAATGTTTTCTATTTGCTTGAGGGGCATTCAACATACAGAAGCAAACAAACCCCTAATTATATATGCATCACCAAGCATAATTTCTACTGCTCTGGCGTACAGTGGCTGGCTGTCTCAGTGGCAGAGACTTCGTTCTTAGCTAATGATTCCTAAATGTGCAGCTGGATTCTTTGGGTCTGAGAGCACTTTTAGAAATTCTTAGAAATAGAGTCACCCTTGTCCCAAGAACGAATCTGCTCTGATCAGAAAGGACACCCACTTTAATTAAGGGTGCACATCGGTGTGGCCTCCTGCTGGCCTCAGATAGCTCACAGCCTAAGATGGCTTTTATTTAAAGTAGGGGCTTATCGGTGAAAAGCCTTGTCCCTTAGTAGGTCAAATTCCATAAACTTTAAGAGAAAAAATTAACCAGTTATGGATGTTTTATAAGCAAATTTGTGCACGTGATTCCAATGTTTGAAACGTTTTTTTTTTTTTTTCCTGTACTGTGTTTAATGGCCATGTTGTGTTCTAGAAATCTATCATGTTAAAGAGAAGTTGAATTTGTTTAATGCTCAGATAGTCGTCTCTTTCTGGAAGCAAATAGTTTGAATGATCATCAGTTAAATGACATGTTAAAAATGTACTTGAATTTATCTTTACATGCCTTCTAGTTTTAAGATGAGCTGATAATTGTTTCCTGCTCTTCTGTGGTCCATATTAATGAGTGAGATCAAGGGGACCAGCCTATAGGGAGCGTGAGAAGCATTACGGCCAATGGGGAGCTGAGTCTCTCATGGGCCAAAGAGGACCCAGGGTGGAGGAGCAAGAGAACACTGCATGGAGGGAGAACGCTAGAGTCAGATGGGGCGTCTGGTCTACCCAGGTCAGTCTCAAAGCCTGAAAACTGATCAAGCTTTCCTGTGGCTGTGGAGAGAAAGGGGGCAATGCCCACAGACGGTCTGGCAGCTACATGGCAGGCAGTTCTTGTTGTGAAACTGTTACAGGTTGTTTTAGTGACCCACTTTTAGCAGGAAGAAACAAGGCATCGAATTGGTCCCAGAAGAGTATAATTAACATGTAGCTAAGGGGGCAGGAGGTGGGGTTTTAACATGGGAGGAAAATGTTATTCTAACTCAGATGTAGGCAGAAGTGCAGGTTCTCAAGATGTAGAGGGACACAAAATCCAGGTGTTCCCACAGACATTCAAATGAAATGTTTCCAAAACAACAGGTGATTAAAGTAAAGGATTTATTGTAATCTGCTTACAGTCCTTTGCAAAGACAGACATATGTTTTTGCATAAAGATATAAATTGCTTCATTTTAAACTAATTTAGTGTTTTTTAATTATATGAAGAAGTTTTGGTGAAATATGAATTGTACCAAACCAAGATTTTTAAGAGCAATATGGTACAAAAATAAGAGCAGACAGACAATTTGGACTGGGACAGGCATTCAACAGTGAATTTAGAATATGGCTTTGCTGTTTAATCAAGCAAAGTTACCTGGAGACACATAAAGAGCCAGTAACTTTGTTAATACAAAAAAAGCTGATGCAGACTGTCTCCATCCCAAACCTGGTTACACTGAAATTCCAATTTCATAAAACCTAAGTCTGAGCTAAAAGCTGCTCTTGTAAGCCATTTCTTTTCTAGAAGCTCCCAGTCTGCATGCTGTGTATTTATCACCTTCCTAGTGTGGCTTTCATATTGCTGTGCATGTAAGTTGACTGTATTTAAAGATCTGCCTATAAATTAAATTACTGAAATTGCAAATTATGTAAGAAAAACTCCTCCCTCTGAATGCAGCTTTCACAGGTTCGCCCTTGCATAAGGCAGGTGTCTTCTGAGAGACAAGGTAATGTTGCCTGCATGGTGAACCCTGGAGAAAAGTGTGGATCCCAACGCTGCCTTCTCCTGGCCTTGGGCTTCTCCAGCTACAGCTTTTAGGTTCTGGAAAATAATATGATTTCACTGAGTACCTGATGATTATCATCACTTTTAAAAGATTAATTTGGCCTCTATTCAAAGTAGTTTATTTAGTGCAATCATATCGTTAAGTTTCCCCAAAGATATATAGGTTTGTGATCTGGGGCAAGAGAAAAGCCATAAATTGCATCAGTGCCAAACAGATTAATGAATTAAAAATTTTAGTGCCACTGTCTTGCTTATATGATCTGTAGTTTTTTTTTTTCTCCAAAACTGTTTATGTATAAAATTTTTAAAACCTACCTTTTAAAAATCTAAAAACCCTCTAATTATCGTGCGGTCTCCACGCCCTTCTGACCGAACCGTGCCACAAGGCATCTTCCCAGTGCGTCCTGCAATGGCCTACGTGTCCCCACGACCGGTTACAGGAGTGCAGAACTCCTTTCCCAGACCAGCCTCTTACAGGTGTAGAAAGTGCACGGAGTTTCTTTCCCAAAGGAGGAAATGTGATTTTTCTAAGAAGGAAGGAGACTAGGCTCTCTGGCCCATCGCATTCCAGCCTTGCGCTCCGGGGGCGGATTCTCTGCTCCGGGAGGAAAGGGGCGGGGGGCAGCTCTCCTAAGCCGCAGCACTCCTGGGACACTGTCTCACATGCGTGTTGTCACGTGACACCTGCGAGGAGCTGCAGACACCACAGCAAGTCGATCCCCGACGGAAGCAGGATGGAGCAGGAGCCGGAGGCGGGCCCTCGTCCCACGAACACCCCGGCGGGAGACCAAAGACAAAACAGAAGTACAGAAAAAGTAGAAAGGCTTAGAGACAACCAAAGAGGTTTAAGTGTGGTTATTTACAACAGAGACTGTAAAATGGTAAATCAGATATGAAGCTAAAAAAGGCACAGCTTTCCCTTTCTTAAATACACTGTAAACGGTTCATTATGCATGCAGAACATTTCACTTTACAAAAAAAAGTTTTACCTTGTTTAGACAAAGATAGTACTTAAATAGTCTCCAGCAAAATAGAATTCTTTCAAAAATACTTTCCCCTTCATCCTATCAACCATTAAAGTTTTTTTTGTTTTTTTGTTTTTTTTTTTTGTTTTTGTGTCTCATTTACAAAAGTTCCTTACACCTATGTCAGGTCCTTCACAATTTATACATACAGTAATGTACAGCACAGCAAAAGACTGCAAAAAATTATTGGTAAAGCCAACACAATAGATACTAGAAATTGGAACCAAGGCATTTTGTTTAACATCTTACCCATTCTAGTTAAATAATAAACGGATGCTAAGGGCGTGTCTACCGGTGATGCAGCAGCACGTGGGCCTCGGGGGCGGGGCCTCGGGGGCGGGGGCGGGGCTACTCCGCGCCACGGGCTCTGTTATTACACAACAGGAATCCAGGTTTTTTTCTTTTTGTGTGTTTTTTTTTTTTTAAATAAGAAAAGAATATTAATGCCCCATATTGATTATACGTTTTATGTGCAACCAAGGGTAAGCTCTAAAAAGTCCGTTAGTCCTTGAACCCTTTTAAAACAAGCTAACGATACCAGAAACTACATGGCGTAGGTAAAACTTCCATCTGTTAAAATATCAAAATCAGAGTTATTGACTAGATATGGCTTTTCATCCAGAGGAACAGGAACGCGTTTCCAAGCGCGGGGATCGGAGGGGGAGACGCCTTCCGACTGCTCGGCTCTCGCCAGACCCACGTCGCGCTGCTTTCCCGGCTCCAAACCCTTGACGTGATTTCTAAACTCGAGAAACTGCTCGGGTGGGAATCAACCAGCACGTGCTAAAAACCGGATTGCTCGGGTCCTTCGTGGGGTGTGGACGAGCAGGGGAAACTTAAGGCAAAGCTCTCCGGGCCGTGGCCCGTCACTTCCTGTGGAAGTACAGGGGCTTGGCGTTGCCGGACTCCACCTTCGGCAGCTGGTCGCTGATGATCTCCACCAGCATGGCGGGGAACTCCACCTTGAGGGCCTGCGACTCCCGGAAGGTGTAGAAGCAGAACTCCAGCAGGTCGCTCACCAGCTGCAACACAGAGCCCGCACCTGAGCCGCCGCCCCGCGCCCCGCCCACACCCGCTGGCCACGCCCACAACCCGCTGGCCCCGCCCCACGCCCTGGCCATACCCCCGCTGGCCCCGCCCCACGCTCGGCCACACCCCCGCTGGCCCCGCCCACGCCCCATTGGCCCCGCCCCCACGCCCTGGCCATACCCCCGCTGGCCCCGCCCCACGCCCCGGCCACACCTCCATTGACCCCGCCCCACGCCCCGGCCACACCCCCGCTGGCCACGCCCCATACCAGGCCCCGCCCTCCCGCTGGCCCCGCCCGCGCCCCGGCCACACCCCCGCTGGCCCCGCCCCGTGCCCCGGCCACACCCCCGCTGGCCTCGCCCCGGGGAGGTTCGGGATCCGCCCCGCTGGGTCACGGAGCGCCCTGTCCCCCAAGAGCAAGAGCGTGACGGGGCGGTGGCAGCGGGCCCCGTGGCTCCCTCCAGTGACGCGTGGGTTCGGCGGGGCAGCTGCTGGCCCCGCGTGCAGGGCGCGCCCCGGACGGGCAGGGGTCCAGCCCCGCAGCCGCTGCGCCGCGGGCTCCCCTCCCGCCCTCAGGGGACTTTCCAGGGCCCGCCCGGAGCTCTACTACCCTGAAGGGGTCCGGAACACGGTGTGCGGTTAAGGTGTGCCCAATCGGTGGATTTGGTGACGTCTACATGGCACAGCGACTAACGTCCTCCCCGTGTCACCGCGTCCCCATCTCCTTTTCTGTGGCGGGGACACTGCAGGTCCACGCCCTTAGCAACTTCCATCGCCCAGCCAGGGCCCTGATTACCTGCTGCACATTCCTTCCCGGCCCGCTCCCGCAGAACTGCAAGTTTGTGTCCTTTGATCAGCGTCTCCTAACGTCCCCTGTCTCCTCTCCCCTGGTGACCATCGTTCTACTGTTTCTGTGAGTCTGGGCTTCTTCTTCTTCTTTTTTTTTTTTTTAAGACTTATGGAATGTACAGCTTTTTTTTTTTTTTTTTTTGAAATGCACAGTATTGTAATCTTTCTCTGACTTCACTTAGCAAAACACGGGCGAGCCCCGGCCACGTTACTGCAAACAGCAGGACTTCCATCCTTCTCATGGCTGAATGATATCCCAGCCTGCTGTGTGTTTCTTGCCCATTCTCAAGCACTTTCTATTTCAGGCTGACGGTGAGAGTGTGTGCAGGCAGCAAGGACAACCTCTAGGTCTACTTGCCTGTCCAGCCACTTCCCCTACTCGGTGGCCCACGGACCTGACCCACTCCCCATTCTGTAAGTGAGAAAACCAACCCTCCACCAAGCAGTACACCATCAATTCCACACCCCGTTGTGGGGAAAATGAGTCTTGGCCATTTCCCACTGTATTAAAGCAGGCAATATGACATGCTATAAAATCACTGTAGTCTTAATAAAATGATTCTGATGAAAATACATCTGTAACTTTCCCTCAAGGTTGTTTTCTTTTTTAAACTTAATTAAGCATTGGGCCCACTGCATTGGGCTTCTGCGTGTGCCTGTGTGTACCCTCCGTCTGAAGAGGGACAATTCCCTGTGCGTCCCCAGGACTACGAGAACTTTGGTAAGTGGTTTTCACTCACAGAAGGTTGGGGCCGCCCAAGCGACTGTCCACTCTGGGCACGCTCACACCTCTGTGCGTGCTTTGTGAATGCAGAGTCTCGGCTTCCACATCTGTACAACGGGGTACCTGCCTCACGGGGCTCTCTAAGAGGACTCAGCGAGTGAGCTGGCACACAGGCTGCCAGTTCTTAATCAGGACTGAGAGGTATTGCTGGTAAAACCTTCTGATTCTGTCCTCCCAAGTGGTCCCAAACTCCTTCAAACATAAGACATCATTTTCCTCTGTGGAACACAGTTTGCAAAATCTGCTCTGGGTTGTCCTTGTGTCATTTGGTGTTCTTGGGTCCCCTTCTATAAATTGAGAGACAGGAGAATTCTTGTGTTTCACCTTTCCAGGAGTGAGATTCTTAAAACTGGGGCAGCAAATATCTCAATTTCCTTTTTAGGAGGCGTGCTAGCGGCTATGAAAGCTGAAAGCCATGCTGAGCCCCACTCTCCAGATGTGGTGCCACAAAAGAGTTGGCATTTTCAATTACAGGGCACACCTTTCAGTGGGCAACTGCAGAGCTCTGTGTACCAGCCGTGAGCACAAAGAACCAAGTTTAAGTTCACTCCAATCTACCCCTCTCTGTCCCCAAGGTCCCTCTCTGTGGGGTGTCTGTAGGGCTGTGGAGGAGGTTGCTTTCTCCCCTTAAAAAATGCTAACCTCAGGATGCCTGGGGGGCTCAGTGGGTGAGTGTCTGCCTTCAGCTCAGGGTGTGATCCTAGGGTCCTGGGATCGAGTCCTGCATCGGGTTCCCCGCAGGGATCCTGCATCTCCCTCTGCCTGTGTTTCTGCCTCTTTCTTGGTGTGTCTCATGAATAAATAAAATATTTAAAAAAACGAGCAGCCCGGGTGGCTCAGCAGTTTAGCGCCACCTTCAGCCCAGGGCATGATCCTGGAGACCAGGGATAGAGTCCCACATCGGGCTCCCTGCATGGAGCCTGCTTCTCCCTCTGCCTGTGTCTCTGCCTCTCTCTCTCTCTCTCTCTCTCTCTCTCTCTCTCTGTGTGTGTGTGTGTGTGTGTGTCTGTGTCTCTCACAAATAAATAAATAAAATCTTAAAAAATATTTAAAAAAATGTTAACCTCTATTTAAAATTGGACCAAAAAAATAAAGTACCTAGAGATCAACTTATTAACCAAGGAGGCAAAAGACCTATACTGTGAAAACTATACAACACTGATGGAAAAAAGTGAAAACGACACAAACAAATGGAAAGATATTCCCTGCTCATGGACTGGAATAACAAATGCTGTCAAAATGTCTATACCACACAAAGAGATCTACAGAGTTAATTCAATCCCTATCAAAATACCATCAGCATTTTCCACAGAACTGTAATAATCCCAGAATTCTATGGAACCACAAAAGACACCAAGTAGCCAAGCAATCTTGAAAAAGAACAAAGCTGGAGGCATAGCAATTCTGAATTTCAAGATATCCTACAAAGCTATAACAATCCAAACAGTATGCTACTGGCACAAAAATAGACACATGCCTCAATGTAATAGAATAAAGAGCCAATAAACCACGTTTCTATGGTCAATTTACCTGTAATGAAGGAGGCAAAAATATACAGCAGGGAAAGAGTCTGCTTAGTAAGTAGTGCTGGGAAAACTGGACCACCTTCTTATACTATACAGAGAAATGAACTCCAAATGGATTTAAGACTTAAAGGTAAGACCTGAAAACCTAAAACTCCTAGAAAAAAACAGTAGTTACTTTGTCACTGGCCTTCACAACATTTTCCTACATATGTCTCCCAAGGCAAGGAAAATAAAAGCAAAAATAAACTCTTGGGATATCAAAAGAAAAAGCTTTTTGACACAGAAGAAAACAATCAACAAAACTGAAAGTCAACCTATAATTTGCAATGATAGATTGGATAATGGGTTAATATCCAAAATATATAAAGAACTCCTACAACCCCCTCCCTAAACCAAATAACTCAATTTAAAAGGGGGCACCAAACCTGAATAAACATTTCTCCAAAGAAGACCTACAGATGGCCAACAGACACGAGGAGATGCTCAACATCACTCATCATCCGGGAGATACAAATCAAAACCACAGTGAGAGATCACCTTACACCTGTCAGAATGGCTAGAATCAAGAAGACAAGAAATAACAAGTGTTGCGGAGGATGTAGAAAAAGAGGAACCCTCTTGCACTATCGGTGGGAAGCAAACTGGTGCAGCCACTGTGGAAAACCATGTGGCGTTTCCTCAAAAAAATTTAAAGATAAAAATGCCATAAGATCCAGTAGTTCCATTTCTAGGTATTCATCTTCCCAAATGAAAACACTAATTTGAAAAGAGATGTGCACCCCTGTGTTCACTGCAGCATTATTTACAGTAGCCAGGATATGGAAGCAGCCCAAGTGTCCAGGGACTGATGAGTGGATAAAGATGGGATGTGTGTGTGAACACACACACACACACACACACACACACACACACACACACACGAATATTAGCCATAGAGGATAAGATCTGGCCTTTTGCAACAACATGGATGGACCTAGAGGGTTCTATGCTGAGTGAAATACCAGTCAGCGAAAGACAAATACCATATGATTTCACTCATATGTGGATTCTAAAAAACAAAACAAATGAATAAGCAAAGAGCAGAAACAGAACCATAAATACAGGGAACTAGTGACTGCCGGTGGGGAGACGGGCGGAGAGAGGGGGCAACACGCGGGGGGTGGGGTGGGGGTGAGCTGCAGGCACCCAGGGAAGTCGCGATGGAAGTGAAGTGCGGAGGAGACCGTCAGGGGCGCAGTCACTACCGCGTGGCCCAGGGCAGCCGGGCGCCCTGGGCTGGCTGGAGCCCCCTGCTGCACACCCGAGACCGTAGCTACCACAGTGGCAACGAGACTTCAATACAGTTGTAAGCTGAGGGGAGACAGCTCGGTTTCTGGGCAGTATCCAGCGCGAGGCCAGCTCTTCGTGGCTGCCGCGTCTTTTACTTCTCTGGGGTCGGCCCAGTTCATGCCCAGAGACGAAGGCTCCTGTCCTTGGGCCACAGGCCGCTGAGGGAGGGCAGAGGTCCTCATGCACAATCGTCCTCCACGTCCACCCATCCAGGTCCCGGAGCACTTGCTCTGAGCCAGGAACTGGGACACGGTGACAAACACGACGAGGCCTTGCTCTCAGGGTATCCACATTCTGCTCTACCGAGAGGACACAACAAACGTGGTCAGGGGCTGACAGAGCAAGGAGGGACAGAGGTCGTGCTGTCTTCGGAAGGGCGGTCAGAGTGACAAGGTGGCTCTCCGGCTTTTGACCCGCCGGAGATGCAGTGCAGCTGTTCTGTCAGGGCGTGTGTGGGGTCACTCAGAGGGTTCAGAGCGGCACGAAGGTCGGGAAGGGGCCCCTG